AGGTAAAGGTTCCCCTCGACATTGAGTCCAGTCGTGTCCGACTCCAGGGCGCGGTGCTCATCCCCGTTTCCAAGCCGTAGAGCCAGCATTTGTCCGTAGGCAGTTTCCGTGGTCACATGGCCAACACGTCTAGACACTAGACACATATTGAATAGAATACTTGCCAAAAAATGAGAAGAAGACCGAGGACTCAGAGTGGCTCCTCTGCGGTCAACAGCACTTAGATAGGAAACGCAGCAGGATTATACAGGTCACGGCGTCACCGTCTTCCTGATTTCAGTGATGTGATTTCAATAAGATCAATTATATCTGGCTGGATCGCTGAGTGGTTTAGGTCTGGTTAAGAGTCCAGTTCCCCACCATGCTTCCCCGGGAGAAGAGCCAGCCTGGGTGGCCTTGGGCCAGCTGCACAACAGCCCCAGGGCTCCCCCTAGAGGAAGGGAATGGGAAAACCACTTCTGACCATTCTCTACCTGGAAAACTCTGGAAGGCCAAATTATAAAAACATGGGCTGGTATTATGTAACAGATACAAGTTTCAACCAAAACCCTGTTAAATATTGGCACCGTAGGTATAAGGTTCCGAATATTGCCAATTTTTTTGTTGTTAGCTCTGATGGTGTGCTTTCTGAGATCTGCAACTGCTTATAATACTGTGTGAAATTTCTTAATCTCATTCCCAAAGCCCTGATGACTGCGAGGAGACCATCCACAAGCGGGTGGTTGTTCTTGCTGATAAATTGCCACATGCAGTTTTTGCAAATCGGCAGGTGGCTTTCCATTTTGGGGATGCCTGGCCTCTTCTCAGTGACGCATAAAATGGGCATTCTGTTCACACCCAATGAAAAGATGGGTAGATGAGAGGGTTGGATACCAGTGGTTTAATGTGGCTTTGTGTGTGTGTGTGTGTATTTTGTGTGTGTGTATTTTGACCTAGGTCAGAAGTGCGTAAATTAGAGATTTGCACTAGAATCTCTCTCTCTCTCTCTCTCTCTCTTTCACACACACACACACACACACACACTTCATTACATTGCTCTTCATGGACTTTTTGATGACTTTCACTATGTTGTTTTCCAGGAATTCTCCCGTTATTGCATGGATCAGCAGGAAATGAAAATGACGACAGTGTCTCAGAATGCCCCAAGCTGGAGCAGGCTGGAAAACGAAAACAGTGACCACGGGTACTGCAAACAGAAGCAGGGGGCAACAAGCAGACAGACAGCCTGGGGTGCTTTTCCCCCACCGAGTGTTGTGTGGCACAGTGGTTAAACTGCAGCACTGCAGTCAAAACTCTGCTCAGGGCTGGGGCCTCCAAAGAGCCCCCAAAGAAATGTTTCTAATTTAATTGTTAAATTTAACTTACAATTAAAGAATTTAATTTAACAAATTTAATTTAAGAATTTAATTTAACAATTTAACCTCTGGAATTTGCTTAGTCTGGTGTCTAATATTTCTTGCATTGACTAGATGACCTTAGCAGCCCCTTCCAACCTTAAATTTCATGATTCCATGAACTGAATGGTCCAGCAAAGTTTTTTTTCCTCTCCCTCCCTCTCCCTCCCTCATTCTCTTTTGTCTCTTCTTTTAAAAAGGAGTTTCTCATTTATTATGAAATAAACACAGATAACGCTCTAGCTCACTTTCTTTTGGACCAGAAAAAGGTTGACCTCTGGGATGATATGATCATTGCTCGCACCCATTTGCCCTAACAGTGAGGGCTAGAAACCTGGGTTTTGTTACTCTTTTTGTAAATGGAAAACAGCGATTCGGTTTTCTTAGGACTCAAATATGGACTTGCATGGTGTGAGCATGAAATACATCTAAAAACAAACACTCAAGTGACAAACCGCTTTAGAAAGGTGTGGTTCAGTTTTAAAAAGAAATATGTTGCTACTGATATGATCACAGAGATCTAGATTTAGAAAACTCCTTCTAAATTTAAACAAAAGGGGCAGACTCAGGAACTCTATCCTACCTTTCATTTCCACAACAGGACAGAAAAAGACATTTACGTATCTCCGAGGTGCCGTCTTGTTTATACATCATTAATGAATCTGTTTAAATAATGCATTGTGCATTAAAAATGGAAGATTTTTTTTCCACCAAATTACAAACCGGGATGGAGACGTCCTGATTGTGACCCAGATATGTCACAAAGGTGGATGGTTGGTTCCTGAATGGGAAAGCCTTTCCTGGCATAAATAATAACGCAAAATGGGAATGGAAGTATGAGTAATGCATGAAGCAGGAGGGAAATGTAAAATTAACCGTTATCAAAGAAAGGAAGGGAACAGCAAAAGGATTCAGACACAGAAGGAGAAGCCAAGTCCTGTAGAAGTTTAATAAATTTGAATCTCTTGAGAAAACAAGTAAAGTTTCAGGTATTAATGCATAGCGTAGCAGTGGAGAAGGTGTGGTCCTCCAGAGGCTGGACTCCAAAACCCATGGTTCCCCTCCCACATAGCCAATAGTCAAACAACACTTGGTTTGAGGATAGCGTGTCTCTGATTTCACAGGAGTAGTGAATCCACTTCTAGTTTTAATCAGAACTTTATAGGCTATACCCAGAAGCTAACACCTAGCCCCGAATAGCTTCAGTACCATGGATAGCTGCTAACCAAGTTCAGGCTCACATCAGGAGTGGAGCAGATTCACCAGTTTTCAGCAGCTTACCTGTTTCCATTACCATCCTGGTACGTAGGTCCTCAATCAGATCAACCCTAAATTTTCTCTGGAAGGAGAAATGATGAAACTGAGGCTGTCCTACTTTGGGCATGTCATGACGTTGGAAAAGACAATAATGCTAAGAAAGATTGGAGGCAACAGGAAAGGAGGAAGAACAAACACGAGATACATTGAGTCAATGAAGGAAACCGCAACCTCTATCATCCCAGAGCGCAGGACACGCAACAACGGGCTCAAGTTACAGGAAGCCAGATTTCGGCTGAATCTCAGGAAAAAACATCTTAACTGTTGAAGAAGTATGACAAAAGAACCATATTATCTCAGGAGGTGGTGAGCACTCCAGCGCTGGAGGGATTCAAAAGAAAATGAAAAAACCTTCTGTCAGGTCAGCTTTGGTTTAGATTCCTGCCTTGAGCAGAGGGTTGGACTCAATGACCTTAAAGGCCCCTTCCGCTCTATAATTCTATCGTTATCCATTTTTGCACAAAACCGGACAAAGTTGTGCAGATGTTCCTCTGCTTCATGGTGGTTCACCTCTTTCTTGAAAATCCAGTGAGTCCTGCTGCGTTTGCTTCCCAGATGTGCTTTGCTTCTCAGTGGGAATGGCCACAAATCCAGCACAGGTGGTATTTTGCACAAATTATGGGGATCCAGTGCAGGGGGGGGGGTTGCCTTGTTTAGTCCTGGGTGGAGATCAGGAATCAAATTCCTCATCAAGATCCCTTGTCAAGTTGACGCCATCTAAATGGAGGAGAGTATGGCATTGCGCAAGTATTCTTCCCATTCCTAATGAGACCTGATAATATTGGGTTTGACCTTAATACGTCTGGAGCGTGTCCTGAGCTGTGAACTAGAAATATAGATAACATATAATTAAAAGCATTTCTTCCTTAAGCTCTTGAAAAATGTCTACCACAGCTCAAGCTTTCTCACACCTCTGTCTTGCAAAAAAAAATATTGCTTTACTTGATAATGGGTCATGCTGAAATAAATGCAGGTTTCGGTTACAAACCTGATGTGTCCGGCAAGGAATATTATGATAACACGCACTATCTTGGCGGGGTAGTGGTGTCTGATGGATTGATGATGTCCACATGGGGGAAATTGGAGATGTCTAGTTCCTGCTTAAGAGGTTCTTATCTTTAGGGTTATGTATTTCATCTCTCACTTGAGATCCTTCAGTTCACACTGATCAAAGTTTATTCTGCCATGATAAGGGTCCACACAAGCCTTTGGATCACACCAATTTGCCCCCCTTTCCTATCTCTTTCCCTCCCTTTTTTCATGGCCGTCATTCAGTCGGCCACAGTGACTTTCCTTTGTTATTGTTAAATAAAGTGACATAGTGAAACAGCGATGTGCCTACCTAGCATGGTACACATAATGCCACCAATGTATCTCCTCTCTCTAAAATAGTGCTACAGCAATAGGAAAGTATATTTTTTAAAAATATGGTACAATAGAGGAGGTTCCCCCCCCTCCATCTTCCTTTTCAGTGACACAACCCACTAAAGGGTTCTCACTGCCCACAGTCCTGTTTGGGAGCAAATTAAGCAACCACATAAGACTTCAGAACAGGATAATCAGGAGGGCTCTGAATCACACACCCCAAAAAACTGCAGCCCTAGAATTGTGCCAAAAAGGAGCGTCACAGCTTTTAAAAGGGGCAAGGTGGATCGCTCTAAGTCAAAACATGTGTGGACACCGTAATTTCATTCAGACCAAAACAGCATCAAAAACATTACAGTACTTATATCAAGCTATATGCTCATCTGGATATGCCCTCTATAAAAGAAGCTTGAGCAGCAGAGCTGTTACTAATTAGATCTTTTGGAGTCATTACTTTACTAGTACATTGGGTTGCCGTAACTTAGAATAAACTAGACAGCCCATAAGAACACACACTCGGTAGCTCTCGGCTAGAGAGATTCTCAGAGAAATAATCCAAAAAAAGAGGAAGTTTCTCCATCTTTTCATGTCTCTGTTATAAATTTGCATGGAGCTTCTTGGCATCAAGAGGGATCCATATGGGCTTAGGATTCTTCATCCCAAGACATTGCAGGGAAGTGTTCCACATGCAAATATAGGGATGTGTTTAGGGAATCCTCACTTGCTAGTTGAAACTGTGGGTGCTGAAAGTGTGTAGCTGTTAAAAGGGTGCAATTCCTGCCTCCCGGCATCTCAGGGATCTTGGCTGGAGAACCTCTCCTAGAACCAGAGAAGGTCAGGAAAAAATCCAGAGACAGTAGAAGACTCAGCACCACTTTATTGGAATTTTTCTTTAAAGGAGATAGATATTATTCAAGTCTTTATAGGTTTCATGCAGGCGACATGCTTGTTCCAACCGTTTCCTCTGGAATGGAAGGCAGGGCCAGAACTTCCATGGGTTGGTTCTGCCTTAAGGAACTTGGTTCCTTAGATGTAGCAATGGCGGCTTTTTCGGGGCTCCTGCAGGCAGAAAAAAGATGGTCATTCCACGCGACTTACAGAAAACACCCTCCTTCTCAGGCAGCATCAACAGCCAGGCGAGTCTGTGTATTTGCTTAGCATGGAATTACATCATGCAGTCCAGCGGTTTTGGGGAGCGACTCAAGCAAGAGGTCATAGCAAGAGTTTTTTGGGGAGGGGGCTGGTGGAGTAGAATAAAAAAGAGGAGGGGCAATCTCCACTCTCAGTTGCTCTCAGTTGGTGCAATTAATTTGGGAGTTATAAAAATGAAACAGGTTTCACTGCCTCATGATCTCACGTAGAGATCATGAAAGACTTAAGGGTCCCTACAGATGTTGTATCTGTTTACCACTAAAGGTTGGAAATCATGTGTTACAGGGAGTAAGGTTCCCTGGTGTGTTACGGGGAGAGGACGTAAAGATAGGAGTGTAACAATGTTCTTTTTGCAAAATGATACTGGATAGTACAGTGAAACCCCCATATGCATGGGGGATTGGTTCCAAGCCCCCCTCTCCGATGCTGAAAACCACAGATAATACTAAACGGTATACGTAGCATATATGCATGGGGGATTGGTTCCAAGCCCCCTCTCCGATGCTGAAGGTAAAGGAAAAACAAATCCAGAAATATGTATTTTTTACCATGTATTACCAGAACTGGCCACAAAGGGGAGCCAGAGACCATGCTCTGTACTCTTCAAATGGCCACAAGGGGGAGCCAGAGACCATGCTATGTAGTCTTCAACAGCAAAAATACATAGTATGGTCTCTGGCTCTCTCTAGTGGCCAGTTCGGATAAATACATTGTGAAAATACATATTTCTAGGGTTCTTTTAATATTTTAATACTTTCAGACCGCAGCAAAGTGAAACTGCAGATGGTGGTCCAACGAACATGGGGGTCCTACTGTAGTGTTATTTTGTGTGATGAGAAAAAATTGTTTGCAACTTTGTTCAGTGAGGTTTTTAAGACGGAAGTACTTCAAGGGGTGTTTTAAGGGACTCCCCTCTGAAGTTTAGTCTGTTGGCGCATGTGTTGTAAACAGAGCTTCCCCACCTCATAGAACTCTAATGCAAGGGGAAAGCAATAAACAATGCCATATAATATGTTACTAAAGAAGTTCTTGATAACATAAGCCACAAAGAGCTGATCTGGGAATGAGGGAGGGAAGTGGCTTCATAGTTAAATACCAAATTTCTTTCAGGAACAACCATTCCGAGCTGTGATTACCAAATGAAGAACCTTCGTCCTTCCAGATGTTGGGGCTTTGACTCCCTGAAATCTCAAGTACTGTGACCAAGAATAAAGGGTAGTGGGAACTGATGTTCAAAACATCTGGAAGGCCAAACGTTCTTCATCCTTGTGCTACAATTGTGACACAGTGATCACCGCCGAGGTGACAGTTGACTGTAGACAATGAACAAAGAAACAAGCCAGATGTGTTCATGATTATCCCTTGATTCTAAATCAAATGATTCCATTCCTTTCCCTAAGTGTGGTTTCAAGATGTGTGTGTCTGTGTAGCCAGTTTCATGGTGTGACACATCTTTAGAACAATCATGCTTCAAGTATTAGCACTTCTTTCATAGATGCAAGAGTAGGGTGATAGCTTTACAGAACCTCCTTTTAAAAAAAATCAAACCAACTGCAAGCTTTCATGGAGAAAATAGCACTTCCTCGGGCTGAGCACCACCCTTTCATGGATAGTGCAGAAAAATTGTAGATAAGCGTCTCCAAAATTCATCAAGGCAGATGTCCACGCCCTGTCTGCTTGTGTGAGGTGAGTTCAGACTTAGATTGCGACCATGAGCTGAGGAATCCGGTTTTAAGCAACCTCCCGTGTAGCTTTTTTGAAGTCAAACTTCAAAAAAAGAAAGAGGGGGTTAGATAATACTCTGTGCCTGTCCTCCCCCCACCCCATGTATCATCATCGCATTCCCCTTCTTTCATGATGTCTGGGAGAAATCAACAATGGCCAAGAGGTAGAACTTGTGGAAAATGCAAGCTGAGAGCATCTCACGTGGGAGAGCATTGTTCTTCTGTACCACCAAGGTGCTTCTGGCAACCCTGAGAAGGTTTTTGAGGTCTCTATGAGATGCGCCCAAGGAATGTACAAGGCTAGTCTTCGAAAGGTTTCTTTCCACAGACTAAAACTCCCAGAAGGCCTCAGCCAATGTAGCTGATGGATCCCGGGAGTTCAGACCAGACAAAGGAACTCTGCTTCTAAGCAGGAACAAAGTTACTTGCAGACTACAACTCCCAGCATGCCCTGGTCATTGCCAGCATCCTACAGAATGATGGGAGTTGTAGGCAAAATAATAATAATAATAATAACTCCCATATTCTGGACTGGAGTATAATGTATTAAGTTCTTGAGAATCTTTGAGCATGCTTTTTGGAAGGGGGGTTTGGAATCAACTGTGAACACACCCCAAATCCCTTGTAAATCCTGCAAAACCTCAAAAAGAAAACGGATCTGTAGCAGCGTGAATGTTTTGTAAGCGCCATGCATGAAATGGAGAGCTGGCTATGTCTGTATAGGATTTGTTTCATGAGAATTCAATTTAAAGGATTTATCTTCTTATTAGTACTAAAAAAACCCCATCTTCCATGAATATATCTATTAGTCACGGGCACTGAAAGCCTATGTCTAATCAGTAATCATGGGATAACGGCTTCCTCTGTTGTGCATCACATATTATTATTTTTATATTGTTTACTAATCATCCCGGAGTGCAGGGCACATAAAAATGAGCTCAAGCTATAGGAAGTCAGGTTTAAGCTGAATATCAGGAGAAACTTAACTGTCAGAGCAGTGTGATAACAGACGTCATGGCCTTGGTAGGTGGCGAGCGCTCCAGCGCTGGAGGCCTTCAAGAGAAAACTGGACCACCCTCTGCCAGATCTACTTTGATTTGGATTTCTGCCCTGAGCGGGGAGGTTGGACTTGATGGCCTCAGAGGCCCCTTCCAACTCCATTATTCTATGAAATTCTATTATTTTCATTGGTATACATTGTTGGTTTTTGCAGGTATGACTTTTTAACCTCCATGTCTCTTGTGTCAAACCAATGTTGTTTTGGTTTAATTTTGGTGTGATTCTAGCTCAACGGTCACTCTCTGTAAGAACTCCATTTTTTGTATCTACCCGATAGAGTTATATCCCTTCTAAAAGCCATCCCTTCATCCCGAGATTTGCTATCTGACGACACAGAATTCCTTGCTCGAAAACATCAGCGCCCATCCAGAATTGCCGCATAGAATCTGAAGGTCTCTTATGGCGTCAGAAATCTGAGCATCTCGTAGGGTGGCGCCACGGCAGTTAAAATCACATTAAAGGCTAGAACATGGTGGTGTGGATTCACCCGCTTTCCTTATTCATGATACAAGGACTGGATACGAGGGGCTGAATCAAAACCCGGGAGGGTTACATCCTGCTTGTGAGGTTCACGGATCACCTGGCTGATGGCGGGTGCCGATTTGGCCACTGGTTTAAGTTCTTTGGAGAGATGTGCTAATTCAGCAGCCTCATGAGGAGAAGAACGTCATCCAACAGGTTGGGAGCTCATCTGTCTCTGACCCCGAAGGACCTCATTCAGTGGTAAGTCAGTTGCTTGCCACACGGACAGTGCCAAGTTAGATCCCTGTCATCTCCAACATGGCAGGAGATGATCTAGCTCCCAAAATCTGAAGTACTGCTCATAACCAGAGTTGGCAACACTGGGTGTGATGGGCCAAGGATCTCACCCAACATTGGGTGCTGCCTATATCCACATCACTCAGAATGTAAGTTCTCAATTTTTCATAAAATAAAATTGTAGATAGAATCTGAGATGGACAGATTTCTGCCTTTTATGTGTTTTTAAGCCACAGATCCAGTTTGCCTCTTAAACTGGGCTTAATCCTTGCACTATTTGGCCCTTGGGGAGTTGTCCTTCACCTTAGAATGGCCAAACTGTACACGTGTTATCAAGGCAAGAATCCAGGATCAGTTTTTTAAAAAGACATCTCTGAAGCCCCAAATTTCTCCTTTCCTGATCTTTGTAGGGGAGAGAGAGATCCCTGTCATCTCCAACATGGCAGGAGATGATCTAGCTCCCAAAATCTGAAGTACTGCTCATAACCAGAGTTGGCAACACTGGGTGTGATGGGCCAAGGATCTCACCCAACATTGGGTGCTGCCTATATCCACATCACTCAGAATGTAAGTTCTCAATTTTTCATAAAATAAAATTGTAGATAGAATCTGAGATGGACAGATTTCTGCCTTTTATGTGTTTTTAAGCCACAGATCCAGTTTGCCTCTTAAACTGGGCTTAATCCTTGCACTATTTGGCCCTTGGGGAGTTGTCCTTCACCTTAGAATGGCCAAACTGTACACGTGTTATCAAGGCAAGAATCCAGGATCAGTTTTTTAAAAAGACATCTCTGAAGCCCCAAATTTCTCCTTTCCTGATCTTTGTAGGGGGGGGGACACACAGGGATCAAGAGCACAAAACCGGCATTCAAGCCCCTTTTTTGAGGTGGATTTAGATGGAAACCAGCTATACAGTGGTGCCTCGCTTGACTACATTAATCCATTCCAGCGAAATCGCTGTAGAGCGAAATTGTCATCAAGCGGGGAAAAAACCCATTGAAAACTACTCAATGTGTTCCAATGGGCTAAATACCTAATCATCCAGCGAAGATCCTCCATAGGGTGGTTATTTTCCGGTGCCTGTCTTGCGAAAAATTCGTCCTAAAAACAGTAGGGAGCCATTTTAAGAGCCACCGATCAGCTGTTTTAAACCATCGTTAAGCGAAAAATTAGTTCCCGAAGCAGGGAACCAATCATCGTAAAGTGATTTTCTCCATTAAAACATCATTCTGCAATCGCTATAGCGATCACAAAAAGATCATCGTCAAGTGGATTTGTCGTTTAACGAGGTAATCGTTAAGCGTGGCACCACTGTAATCAGAAGAACAGAGAGGCTAGAATCCACCTGAAAAATCACACTAACCC